CATATAAACAAACACAAGTACGTAAATACTGCAACACTTACAACAAAACAATACGCAAAGACATCACAAAATCGTTAAGGCCTAGAGAAAAAAACCGTAAAGCGAGGAGGGTGGGGGGTGGGGGGGTGGGGGGTTACGAAATGTTTTATGTCAGGCAATCCACGGTAATTACCTTATAGAACACCTAGTGAACCTTACTATTGTTTGTGTAGCATCAAGACCTACTAATCCACTGTAATCAATAGTGTTTTTTTTTTCTTATTTGTGTGATTGTCAATTGACCCTGGAATGTGTGTGTCTGTGGAGGGAGCGACACAGGCAGGCCTCATCTTCCATCGCCGCCGCCGATGATGATGATGATGATGATTTCTTTGACAATGTACAGTACTGGTGAGTGTCGAATGACCATTTTCTACCTGTATTTAAAGTTCTTCTCGATATTAAGAGATATCGTTCATGTAAACAAATATCCTTGCGCTCTGGCACAACCCGAGTGAACGCGTCATGACTCCGCTATTTACCATCGGTGTACAGTATATTATTTTCCAACTACAGTATCGTGCTTCTCTACCACTCCCGATGGTTCAAATTTGACCATTATTTAATTTCCAAAGATGACGTCTGATTGTCCTAATGAAAAATTACTTTCAAACAATTGATTTATCGGTAATAAGGAAGAAGTTTATACAGAGAAACGTGTGTGAGTTCGTCTACCAATTATGTAAAATAAACAAACAATCAAAACAGCAATAAAACGGTGCTTAATTTATGGAAAGCTGTGATGTATGTATTACGTCTTTTACCTAGCGTGTGGTATTCCTTAACGTCTGGTTCTTCAATAGTAAATCGAATTCTGTTTAAACCTCTTGAGTATGCTGAGTTAACACTTTTAGGATTATGGTTTAACATTTCAAGGATGATGGTTTAAAACACATTTAGTATGATGGTTTAACATTTTAAGGATGGTGGTTTAATAGGTTTAGGATGACGGTTTAACATTTCAAGGATGATGGTTGAACAGTTTTAGAATTGTGGTTTATAATCTTGAAACATATCTTTACTAATATTCTTCAGTAAGTTTGATGTGAACTTGCACTAATCTACTGAGCTCACCTAATCTAATCTACCTTCAGCTTAAGCTAATTCAGTATATTTAAGCTGATCTTTCACTAATCTTACTCAATGTTAAGCCTAATTTCCTAATGTACTTTAATCAACTTAAACTGAACTTACACTAATGTCCCTAATTCGAGCTTAATTTTCTAATCTATCTCAATATATTCAAGCTGATGTTACGCTAACCACCTCAATATATTCAAGCTGATGTTACGCTAAACTCCCACAACTCAAGCTTACTATACTTTACCAATCTATCATTAATTTCTACTCAAGAACTATGCAGCAGTTTATATATATAGATGTAACCTTAAAACTATGACCCACATCGAGTTTTAATAGTTGTTTGTCTAGTGTAAACAAAGTGTCTCAGCGAACCTGCGTCAAGACCAGATAGTAAATAACAGGTTCCCGCAAACACACTCTTGTTGTCATGACGTCACAGGGCTCGACGGGGTTCACGAACGATGAAGAGCGATGAAAATCTACGGAACTCTAAACCCACCTTTAACTACTACTGTATCTCCTTTAATGATAATACTGTAGTTATGATGATAGGTAATAATAATGATTATACTAAGTACTAAGTATTTTGAATAATAATAATAATAATAATAATAATAAAAACCATATAATGTAGGCTTGTAATCCATACACAAGATAAAAACTAGTGAAAACCTCCCCAGTTAAAACATCGTAGCACACAACTGGAGTGTTTAATGAGAAATGGATTTAAACACCAATAACAGGGTGTTTCCATGACCACCTGAACTTTGACATATATTATTCAATAGGTTCTCATTTGCAACGTCATATCGCAAAAAAATAAAAATCCGTAAATTTTATTAATCGAGGTTTACAACACAAAATTAAAATATTAATTAAAGAAAACTCTGGTTAATTATATATATATATATATATATATATATATATATATATATATATATATATATATATATATATATATATATATATATATATATATATATGTATATATATATATATATTTTTTTTTATGGGAGGTAAGTTTGTTAAGTGTACACCTTTACTAACTAATCTGATAGTGTTTGTAGTGTGTGAGGGTTTTTTTTCTTAAGTGTCGATTCCAAAAGCTTAAGACAATACTAGTTATGACAACAACTATCACCGTCATCACCACTCCCCCTAGTGACAACAACAACTATTACCATCAACACCACTACCACTAGTCACGAAACCTCACCCACGACCGTCACCAGTCACGAACCACGTACCACCACTACCACCACCACCACCATCATCACTACCACCACCACCACCACTACCACCACCACCATCACCACCTCCACTACCATTAACACTACTACCACTACTATCACCACCACTACTATCGCCACCATTAACACTACTACCACTACTATCACCACCACTTCCCCCACCTTCACCACCACCACTTGTACCTTAGGGGGATACAGGCAGGAAGGGAAGTTACAGGGAGGAAGGGAGGGTACAGGGAGGAAGAGAGGGTACAGGGAGGAAGGGAGGGTACAGGGAGGTAGGGGAAGTTACAGGGAGGAAGGGAGGGTACAGGGAGGAAGAGAGGGTACAGGGAGGAAGGGAAGTTACAGGGAGGTAGGGGAAGTTACAGGGAGGAAGGGAGGAGGGTGCAGGGAGGAGGGTCAGGGAGGAGGAAGCTACAGGGAGGAAGGGAGGTTACAGGGAGGAAGGGAGGGTACAGGGAGGAAGGGAGGGTACAGGGGAGGGTACAGGGAGGAGGGTAAGTGAGGGGAGGAAGGAGGGTACAGGGGAGGGAAGTTACAGGGGGGAGGAAGAGGGGTACAAGGGAGGAGGTAAGTTGGGGAGGAGGAGGGGTACAGGGAGGAAGGGGGTACAGGGGAGAGGAAGTTACAGGGAGGAAGGGAGGGTGGTACAGGGAGGAGGTACAGGGAGGAAGAGGGTACAGGGAGGAGGGAAGTTACAGGAGGAAGGAGGGTACAGGGAGGAAGAGAGGGTACAGGGGAGGAAGGAAGTTACAGGGGAGGAAGGAGGGTACAGGGAGGAAGGAGGTACAGGAGGGAAGAAATTACAGGGAGGAAGGGAAGTTACAGGAGAAGGAAGTTACAGGGGAAGGAGGGTACAGGGAGGAAGGGAGGGTACAGGGGGAGGAGGAGGGTACAGGAGGAAGGGTACAGGGGAGGAAGGGAGGGTGGGGAGGAAGGAAGTTACAGGGAGGAAGGGGAGGGTACAGGGAGGAAGGGAGGGTGGGAGGAAGGGAGGGTACAGGGAGGAATTACAGGGGAAGGGAGGTACAGGGAGAGAAGGTACAGGGAGAAGGGAGGGTACAGGGAGGAAGTTACAGGGAGGAAGGGAGGGTACAGGGAGGAAGGGAGAGAGAGGGGTACAGGAGGAAGAAGGGAAGTTACAGGGAAGGGAAGTTACAGGGAGGAAGGGAGGGTACAGGAGGAGGGAGGTGAGGGAGGGAAGAGGGTACAGGGAAGAGAGTTACAGGGAGGAAGTTACAGGGAGGAAGGGAGGGTTACAGGGAGGGAAGGAGGGTACAGAGAGGAAGTTACAGGAGGAAGGAGGTACAGGGGAGGAAGGGAGGGTACAGGGGAGGGAAGGGAGGGTACAGGGAGGAAGGGAGGGTACAGGAGGAAGGGAGGGTACAGGGAGGAAGAGGGTACAGGGAGGAAGGAGCAGTGTAGAGGGAGGGGGAGTTGAGTTAGGGAGTGTTGCTAAAGGGAGGGGTGAGGGAGGAGTAGGCAGGGTGTGATGGAAGGTGAAGGTGTCGGAGAGAGTGTGGAGGAGGGGGTTAGGGAGTGACTTAGGATGGTGGCAGGGACAGAGGGGGATAGGCAGGAAGGAGTGAGTGAGTATGGTGGAGGATTATAGGGACGAAGAAGGTGGAGGGAGTGAGCGCTGATAGAGGGAGGGTCAAGGGAAGAGGCTGGAGGAAGGGAGTGAAGGAGGGAGAGTGTTGTCAGAGGGAGGGTTGAGGGAGGCGTGTGGAGGGAGGGAGGGAATAGGGACGTAGGAGGGATTGTTGATGAGCCAGGGTTGAGGATGGAGTGTGGCAGGAGGGTACAGGGAGGGAGTGTTGATGGAAGGAGGGAGAAAGGGAGGGAGGGCTGCAGGGCCAGGCCGTCCTCACATTCAGTAATTCTTGGCAGCAAAATAGCAGAGTAGCTAAGTGTTTAAGCCGTGTTGGTGTGTGTAATACAAGGTGTCTGGATAGTTGCATCACGGCCACACACTCTATTCTAACTCACCCTGGATGATGACCGAGCTGGGTGTGTGGAGAGTGTATGGGGCTGCGGGTAGACCTAAAGTACGGAAGTAGTGTGTTGAAGAGCAGTGCAGGATAAATGAGATTTAGTGTTAAGCGGAGCGAGTGAGGGCGCGCCTCCCGCAGCGTGGGGAAAGGAATGGGGTATTAAGCTGGGGTCCTACGACACTGGCTGGAGGGGGGCTCCAGGCCTGCCAGAGGGCTGCCTTCTCCTGCCACTAACACGCTCACCCACATCTGCTGATACCTCTTAATACGTGTCCATATTACTTATATCTATCTCAAGTTCCCAAAAGCAATATACTAGTACTGTTAATCCAAGAGGACGAGGGAAATTTTCCGTGGGGGTTGTGAGGGCAGCGATCCTGCGCACCTGGGCTGGGTTGCCGGGTGTCGCTGGCGTTGCACCCCAAATCCTTCCTTCTAATGCCGTAAGTCACGTCGGGTGATTAAGGGTGAGATAAAGAGTGAAGGTGTACTTAGGTCGAGGTGTTGGGAGGAGAAATGTAATAAGGGTAGAATTGTTGTGGGGAGGGCAGCATCAGTGCGCACCTGGCAGGTGGCGGCCCCACCTGTTGATCAGCGCCGCCACAGGTCCCCTCATCGATCCGTCAGTGGCGCCCTGCACCCCTGTGAGGACGCACGCCGCTCTTGCCCGCCACCTATTCTCAGCCGCACGCCCGCACGCCCTCACACACCTGCCCGCACCACACCGTCCATCCGCAGAGCTGCAGTCAGCGTGCCCGTACCCTGAGGAAACTAGTAGTGTTGCTACTACAGCTGATGGTAATGGTGGTGGCCACGCTTGACCTCGGGGACGGCGCGCTGCCTCGCTAGCGGAACCCCACTGCCACCACCGTTAACCTCTGACCCGCCCCTCACCCAGGCTCTCCTCTCACTGCTCAAGTGACGCAGGCGAGATGGCCACTAAGACATTATACCACTGATAATGATTTGGCAGGATCCGTGACGACTGAGGTGTGGTGTGCAGACCTCGGTGTACCTGTGCCCTCACCTAGCGCCACCACCTGCACCCAGGCCTTACCTTACACCCTGGGCCATCCCGGCCTTCAGCGCCCTCACACACCACACGAGATACACACCTACCATGAGCTTGGGTTTCCATGACCCAGCAAAGCGTAACATGTGACGTCGTCGAGGGTCAAGTGTGGTCATACGAGGTGGACAGGTGTGAGCGACCGTAACACCTGCCTCACATTACTCCCGGGTTACTCTGGCCCACGACCCCTGCCCCCCGTTACCCATCAACATTCTATCTGACTGGCGAGTTACAAGTGTCAGCTCAAGTCTAGGTGAGGTGGGCGTGTGGTCGGGCGTGTGACAGGTGTGCTGGGGAATTGTGTGGTTGTCAGGTGGAGCTGAAGAGGACCAAGTGTGCCGCTGCCCCGACATCCAACTCACAACAGGTAAGTCCCCACATCAGTCTTCATTACATATTGCCTTCCCCGCTGTCCAGCACAACACGTGCAAACTCATCGTAAACTTGTGTGTTTGCACAGTCCAGCGCGCCCCTCCGCAGTCGTAATTATTACTGAAGTATGAGCTCCCTGCTACATTTACATGCAGTTGCCTCGGCAAGAGTGAATATTTTGTGAGTCAGCTGTTATGTGAATGTGTTAACCATCCTCGATATATTTCATTACAACAACTGTAGATATTGGGAATATTTTTATGAACATTTGTACTGTAACGTTGTGACCCGCATGTGCCCCGAGTGTCGAAGCCCCTGGCCCACATCTACCCCTTACACTCTTACGTGTCGCTCACCCACCTATAACGCGCCAAACATATAACCAATAAGTCAGTATATATATATATATATATATATATATATATATATATATATATATATATATATATATATATATATATATATATATATATATATATATCCCTTTTATGAGATATATAGTATTAAATTACTGAACAAGTTTGTTAACAGTTGAACGGACACAGGCAGTAGCTATTTGTTCTATATTTTAACATTATAGAGTGTTGGAAAGCTACAAAAAACGTTCATCACTCCACTGAGGTGTGGAGTGTCTGGATAAAGTTTTAAAGCAATCCATCGAGCCATTCCTGAGAGAAAACTGGTCAAGATGGCAGATCTTAATTAACCTGTTTAAACCTAAATTAACCTAGTTTTATCACAGGTCCTAGTAGTAATAGTAGTAGTTGGGCTGAACTAGTAAGTTACGTTAGGTTAAGCCAAACAAGATGATTTTAGCCACCGAAGAGACTTAATTGTTGGGCATATTATTTGAAACTGTGAATGTTGCCACGTCGTGCTTTTGTTTGAATTATAATGATTTATTTCTCTCTCGATTATAAATTAATTTTCTAATGGCGCAACGGACCGAAAACAGCACCAGATATCCTTAATTTCCCTTCGTAATCCCTTCCTTGTAAGTATCTTATTCTTATAAGGTGTGTGTGTGTGTGTGTGTGTGTGTTTGTGTGTGTGTGTGTGTGTGTGAGTGTGAGTGAGTGAGTGTGTGTGTGTGTGTGTGTGTGCATGTGTGTGTGTGTGGAGGTGAGTGAGTGGGAGGAGGAGTGTGTGTGTGTGTGTGTGTGTGTGTGTGTGTGTGTGTGTGTGTGTGTGTGTGTGTGTGTGTGTGTGTGTGAGGTGAGGGAGGGAGTGTGTGTGTGTGTGTGTGTGTGTGTGTGTGTGTGAGTGTGAGTGGAGTGAGTGAGTGTGTGTGTGTGTGTGTGTGTGTGTGAGTGTGTGTGTGTGTGTGTGTGTGTGTGTGTGTGGAGGAGTGTGTGTGTGTGTGTGTGTGTGTGTGTGTGTGTGTGTGTGTGTGTGTGTGTGTGTGTGTGTGTGTGTGTGTGGAGAGGAGTGAGGTGTGTGTGTGAGTGTGTGTGAGTGTGTGTGTGTGGATGTGTGTGTGAGTGTGTGTGTGTGTGTGTGTGTGTGTGTGTGTGTGTGTGTGTGTGTGTGTGTGTGTGTGTGCCCTCCCATAAAACAAGTCGTCGTTATCTTACCCACCATACCACCTCCCCCACACCTCACCATTGTTCTTCGTTATGTTCCTTCCTTGATTGTCCATCCTTAACCTACCTAATAGTTTTCTTTTAATACCGTCCTGTCTTCCACCTCCTTCTCCACTCTCTCGTTTTCAATGAAGTTATTCAGTTATGTATAAAATCTGTCTTTATTTCTATTTCTACTCTGGACACACACACACACACACACACACACACACACACACACACACACACACACACACACACGCCACCTCACATACACACACACACGAACTTATTTCTTATCTCTCATTTTGCGCCTGATCGGGTCACCTAAACATTAGCTCCCCAGTTTATTTCACCTGATGATTAAACACTCTTATGGTATTTGGGGAGGGTTAGATTAAGTTAAGTTAGGTTAGGTTAAGTTAGGTTAGGTTAGGTTAGGTTAGGTTAGGTTAGGTTAGGTTAGTCTTAAGGTGAAATGTGTTGAATCTGGTCAGTAATGTTCAAATATTTATCCCCTTCATATCCATCACACAGCTCTAAGTTTTATTAATCAACAATATCCTCACCTTATTTTTGCTCTTCTGACTTTACTCCCCTCACTTGGCCCCAGTAACCAATCCTTTACGCTTCGACTGTGATATCCAGGTTTCTTATGTGTAAAGTCTCTCCTGTCTACACCACACACACACATTTATTTTTTGTTACCATAGTTCAGGTACTTGGGGGTTACTAGCCACATGTCCTCAAACTGGGGAGGTGAAGTACTGTACGGTAAGTCACGCTCTCTACCTGACACACACACACACACACACACACACTGATTAAAACCTTGATTGCTCTCCCACTAAGGCTGGACTACCCCAGGGCTCTGTGCTGGTCCCTACAACACCCCTCCCTTCTAAAGTAAAACACAAACAATCTCAACAGTCTCGCATGTGGACAGTAGACCTAATTTTAACACCACTGTCTCTTATCGCTTTAGTCATCACGGTATCACGCCTCGCTTGTCTCTGTGTATACTCTTCCTAAACATAGCTCCTGCACTTGACGTTATACTACTGCCTTCACATATGATATTTAAACCTTCCTAGTGATACAAACGCCTCATTAGTCTTTTGATAAAGGTCGGAATAAAATCTGAAACGTTATGAGGTTGATCTTTGACTGCTCTCAACTAAACAGGACGACATATAGTATGGTTCCAGGGATAACCACCGATAAATTAATCTTAAAATGTGAGGGATATTGAACTAATGTTATTTGTGATTAAAAGCGGCTATTACCTCTCCCTTCTTCCTTATCCACCTCCTCTTTCCATCTCTTCTGTGACGCCTATGATCTTGTTACTCAATGATAACGTTTGGCAAGATTCTGATGAATGACCTGACCTGAAATGAAAATACTATAATTTCCAGCTGTGATCTCCCGAGGAAGGTATATATGTGTTGAAAGTTTAAGGGAAACAACGAGATTATTTGAAACATTAGAGCTTGTAAACACAGAAAATCACAACCACCACCACCACCACCCAAAAAAAATAAAAATGTTTCTAATACAAATTCACTCCACACACATAGTCCAAGAATAACATAACAGTTTGGTCTCTTGGTTAAGTGATGTTACCATTACTCGTACAACCACAACATATCCCACCTGCCTGTTGACTTAATCTGCCCACTACGACCATACCTCATCAAAGACCAACCCTGTGGCCGCCTGTTTAATCTTCCCATAGTTATTTTGCTCCTTGTCTCTGCTCCACCTTTATGTCCCGCATACAACATTTTATCCATAGTCTAATATCCAAATATGAACAAAAGGATGTCCTGAAGATTAGACCCCCAGCTTATTTTACCTTAAGATTAACCACCCTTATGTTATTCTAATCTAACATAACCTAATGTTTATCTTTTTTTAACCTAATGCCAATCTAACCCAACCTAACGCTACTTTAATCTAACAGAACCTAATCTAATAAAGCCTAACTTAACCTAACTTAACATAAGCGATCGCTAATCTAATCTAACGCAACTTTACGTTAATATAATATAATATAACATAACATAACCTAATTTAACCTAACGCTAATCTAACCTTACTCAACTTAACGCTAATCTAAATTAACCTAAACTAAACCCTCTCCAGAGTCCAGGTAGCAATTAAGGGGTTTAATCATCAGGTGAAATAAGCTGGGGGAGGCTAATCATCAGGTGAAATAAGCTGGGGGAGGCTAATCATCAGGTGAAATAAGCTGGGGGAGGCTAATCATCAGGTGAAATAAGCTGGGGAGGCTAATCATCAGGTGAAATAAGCTGGGGGAGGCTAATCTTCAGGTGAAATAAGCTGGGGAGGCTAATCATCAGGTGAAATAAGCTGGGGGAGGCTAATCATCAGGTGAAATATGCTGGGGGAGGCTAATCATCAGGTGAAATAAGCTGGGGGAGGCTAATCATCAGGTGAAATAAGCTGGGGGAGGCTAATCTTCAGGTGAAATAAGCTGGGGGAGGCTAATCTTCAGGTGATCCTAACAAAACCCTTGAAGAAAACAATACCACTTTGTGTGTTTTGAAGTAGTGTCCGATCCGATCTTTGCAAAACTTCTCAATCTACGTTAACTTTCTTTAACTCTTGAAAATATACACGTATACAATGCATGTCTAAAATAGGAAATCTTTCTTCAATTTTATATACATCCCTTAACCCTAACTCAAGTCATCTCCAAGATTATGTAAACTATTATTATCTTGAGAGACAGAAGGTTATCTCTCACCTACAATGTGAAGTTTTATCGGGGATCGTTTCGTGTCCTCTTTCATAACTTCAGCTTTACTCTTGATACCTTTGAAAATATCTTCTCTTGTTGCCCTAATTATCTGGAAAACTTTTGATGAATTTTGTTGTCAGGGTCATCTTGGTAGACTAACTTCTACTAATTATACGCAACACACTACTTTCTTATTCCATGTTGGTGTAAGTCAAGGGGTGTGTTTATCTTAGTAGCTTTTTCTTTTTCCTTTTGTCATCAGCCCAAAATTCTATACAAACTTATATACGGATAACAACAATCTTCAGTACCTTCACACACACATTTCCAAGGTAACAAGGAAAGAATAGTCGTGTAAAACTTAATATATATATATTTTTTAATCTCAAATACAAACCTCCAGCCTTGAACATCACTTATAAGTTCCCCAGATTCTTATATCAGTGCTGTAGGATTAACAGAAACAAACTATCCCTTTGAATAATAAAATAAAAATCATCTCCTATCTCATCTTTCTTCCCTAAAATACTCCTTGTCTTACAATAAGTCTTGTTCTCCCTGACATAAAACACTGCTCTCATGTGGGTTTAATATACACATCAATTCTATATAACTCCTGAACAAAACACAATCAAATAATACACCTTGTAATTCGGTTCTTCCTCC